TGCACTCCAGTCTGGGTGACAGAGTGAGACTCTGACTCAAAAAAAAAAAAAGAAAAGAAATCCTCTCGCCTCGGCCTCCCAAAATGCTGGAATTACGGGTGTGAACCACTGCACCTGGCCTGCATTCAATATATTTTAAAGACTATGTGCTACCCATTCTGAGGGGAACAGGATGTAAGGTGGAACATTTATTGATTCAACAACCATTTAGTAAGTTCCTACCATGTTCCAAAAACCTGAAAAACAGGGTGAGCAAAGGCACAGGGGCAAGAAACAGCCTGGCGTATTTAGTGACCCAGAGGGGTATAGAATGGATGGGCTAGGAAGGTGGGAGCCAGAAACAGGAAAAGAAATGGGAGCCGGTATTTAAAAACATATGTAAACTCCTCCTGAACTTAGATTTGTATTCAATTTTGTTGGTTTGTTTGATTGTTTTTGTTTTTTGAGTTGGAGTCTCACTCTGTCGCCCAGGCTGGAGTGCAGCGGCCACTCCCGGCCACCGCAGCCTCGACCTGCTGGGCTCCGGCGATCCTTCCGCCTCAGCCTTCCAAGTAGCTGGAACTACAGGCGCGTGCTACCATGCCCGGCTAATTTTTGATTTACTGTAGAGATGAGGTCTCGCCAAATTGCCCAGGCGGGTCTCGAGCCCACGGGCTCAGGCCATACACTCACCTCAGCCTCCCAAAGCGCGGGATTACAGGCTGAGCCACCGAGCCCGGCTGGATTCAAAATTTTTATACCTTCAGGATTAGTAGGCATTCTTTGCTTTCTATGCTTGTCAATACTGTATATGTTAATCGTATCCTTTTTCTAAAATAAAAATTTTTTTTTTGAGTTGGAGTCTCACTCTGTCACCCAGACTGGAGTGCAGTGGCCGCTCCCGGCCACTGCAGCCTCGACCTGCTGGGCTCCAGCGATCCTTCCACCTCAGCCGTCCAAGGAGCTGGAACTACAGGCGCGCGCTACCACACCCAGCTCATTTTGACTTATTGTAGAGATGAGGGCTTGCCAAGTTGCCCTGGCGGGTCTCGAACCCACGGGCTCAGGCCATCCACTCACCCCAGCCTCCCAAAGGTGCTGGACAACAGGCTGAGCCATGAGCCCGGCTTAAAATAAGTTTTTAAGAAAGGTATCTGAATGTGTAAAAGTCTATGAAAATAAAACAGAAATCTTGCAATTCACAAGAGTCCCAGCTGAGCATGGTGGCTCACACCTATAATCCCAGCATTTGGGGAGGCTGAGGCGAGAGGACTGCTTGAGCCCAGAGTTCGAGATCGGTCTAGGCACCATAGTGGGACCTCATCTCTACAAAAAAATAAAAATAAAAAAATTACCCAAATGTGGTGGTGTGTGCCTGTAGTCTCAGCTACTTGGGAGGCTGAGGCAGAAGGCTCACCTGAGCCCAGAAGGTCGAGGCTGTAGTGTGCCGTGAGTGTGCCACTGCACTCCAACCTGGGTGACAGAGTGAGACCCAGACTCAAAGAAAAAACGAGTCCTGTACCCCACCCCGGGTCAGAGCTCTGGGTGGTAAGTGTGAGCCGTGAGGCCCATCGATTAGAGACAGGGACAGGCACAGCAGGACATGACAGGCCCTTCTCGCCTCAGCATCAGGCCAGGAGTCCCCAGGAGGGAGAATGCCGAAATCTCCAGGCGAAAACTAAGCTTGGCACCCCAGAAGTCAGGCTGGAACTGAGCGAAAGGCCAGATGACAGAATCTGAAATCGTCAGAGGGGCCCTGGGAATGGGAGGATGACAGGTTCCAGGCTAGAAGGCCAGGGAAACTTCCTCTGCGTCTGTTTCAGAGGGACGGGCCCACAGAGGGATTCCGCAGAAGGACAACTGTCCGTCCTTGGACAGGGAGTGTCTCCACTGCCGCGGGTTTGAGTCGACCTTGGTAGGGGCAGATAAGGGTTGTCATGGCACAGAGAAGCCCCAGAGCCTGGCCGCTGGGGAATCGGTACTGATAAGCCAGGCCCTCGAGGGGTCTTGCAAGAACCCTCAGTTCTTGCAAGCCTTACTCCATGGCCCACCTTTCTAAAATATGAGAATGTGCGTCCCAGCAGGCGAGGGCTTGCGGCGGAACTCCTGGCAGGCCTTTTGAAGACTGAGCGATGTGTCCCTCACTGATTTCCTGGATACGATGGTCTGCTTTTCCCTGAGAAGACTTTCTAGCATTGCTAAAATAAATAAAATGGATGACAGAAGCCTTGGAGCGTACAAGTAGGACATTGTGTACCCTTCAGGACACAGAGGAAGCAGACTGCCTGTGACAGGTGTGTGGGCTCGAGTAGAAAAGGCTTGGAGGGTAATAGATGCTCTTGTGTCCGGCTTCATTAGTGAATACGCAGCACATGGGTCCCCAGGCTAGGCTTTTGGAGGGGCGCCCAGCCCAAGTCCTCCTCTGGGTCTCATCAGTGACAGGCCCGGGCCTCCTGAAGGCAGAAAGGGAACCAAAAGCCAGAACAGCCACTGTGGCTTTGGGGTGCAGCAAAGGGAGTCCAGACTATAGGTCACGCGGCCTGTCAGGCCATCCATCTGCCTGAGGTCCAGACCATGGTGACTGCGACCACGGTGACGGGTGGGAAAGACAAGATAAATCGAAACGTCCCGCCCAACTGCTCAGAGCTTCCAGGACCTCGCTCCTACCCACCCTGCTCCCGCCCTGAGCCCCAGGGCCGCCCCTGGTGCCCCCGTCCTCCCCTCAGAGGTCCAGCCTTCGGGGTTCGCCTTCTATGCCCACTCCCTCAGCCCATTAGGGAAAGGGAGGGGAGAGCACGTTCTGGGCTGGCCTTCAAGGGACGGCGACTGAGATGGACCAGAGCGGAGCTGGGCTTGGTGTGGGCAGCTTTTGACCACCCACGGGGAGGCGGAAGGGTGTTCTAGGCAGAGGGCAGCAGTGGACGATGAACAGACCAGAAGGGGGCCAGGTTAGAAAAACAGCTTGAGCCGGGCTCGGTGGCTCAGCCTGTCATCCCGCGCCTTTGAGAGGCTGAGGTGAGTGGACTGCCTGAGCCCGCGGGTTCGAGACCCACCTGGGCAGCCGAGACCTCATCTCTACAATAAATCAAAAATGAGCCGGGCGTGGTAGCGCGTGCCTGTAATTCCGGCTACTGGGAAGGCTGAGGTGGAAGGATCCCCGGTGCCCGGCAGGTCGAGGCTGCGGTGGCCGGGAGCGGCCCCTGCACTCCGGTCTGGGCGACCGAGTGAGACTCCAACTCAAAAAAATAGAAAAAAGAAAAACAGCTTGGGGCACTCAAGGATGGTCCTAAATTCAGACTCAGTTTGAGCTTTGTAAGCCACCAGGAGCCCTTTAAACTTGGGGATGTGAGGGGGGTAACCATAAGAATCAACACTTAGAGTTTAACAACAACTGATACTTACACTTGAAAAACCAGTTTGTGTCTTTGGGCCCTCAGGACAGTCACGTTGAGTCTGGAGGCAGGTGTGGGGGAACGGCCAGCTGCTCGCCAGCATCCCGGCTTCCATGATGCCCATCAGGAAAGGACTGCTGGGGCCTCTCAGGCAGGGATGGGGAGGAGTGTGGGGGTTAGGAGGAGAGCAACGCTTTGGCTACCTCTGAGCAACTCCTGGGCAGAAGAGGGAGAGGGAAGGTGGGGAAGGGAGGCAATGTGGATTTGGTGAACGGGAGCAGCCAGGAATCAGCCCGTCATGAGAAGCCAGGCTCATCAGCAGCCAGCCTCACCGGGGGGCTGTGAGCGCCCCCCAACCCCAGCCTCCAGTTCAGAAGACACTCATTTCGGCCGCCTCGGGGGACCACACTGGGGGGACACCGGGCTTTTCTAACAGGACAGGCCCTTCATGGGAGGGTCATCTACAAACACATGAAGTATGTTTGTGCCTAAACACAATGGGATCAGTTATGCAGCCGAAGGACTCTTCTGGAAATGTTTTTGCCCCCAGTGTGAATAAGGAGGAACGGGAAATTCAGGTCTGATTAGGAAAAGGACGCGTCATCGACCTTGTATTGACTTTTGTCTCGCTCTGCCTGTGCCCGTGGAAAGCAGTGCGCACGAGGATGATGAAATGCTAACGTGAGCTTCCTGGCAATCAAGCGGACAGTTATAAATAGAACAGGCTTAAGGGTGAAACTGGCTTTGCTGTGAACTCAAATATTGTTTCAGGAAAGGTATGTCTCTATGTTAACACTCTGGAATTTTCCACCTGATACTCCCCTGCCTGATTCTCGGACAAATGATACCTCCTGGGAGGGATGAATTTTTTCAATCTACATGGAACTGTGTATGCTGTGTTTCCAGAAGTTGCCACCATTCTCAATGCTGCTGCTCTTGGTTTCCCAGAACAAAGCTGGCCTTGACTATACCAGTAAAACAAAACACAGGGGAGAGGGCTAGAGACCAGGATGCATGCTCTGACCCTTGAAATCTTCGAGAAAACAAAAACAAAAAGCTCACGTATCCAACCATCTAAACATCTCAGAAATCTGAAACCCACACTACTCAATATCTAAAAAGTGGCTAGTGTTACCCTGAAGCCCAATGCTTTGTTCCACATCACATTTTAAGATAAATTCTTTTCCTGTTTTATGGGAGGAAAACAAGAGAAACTTTTTGGACGGGTTGAAATCAATGTCTTCAATTTCCACATTCTTTATAAACCTAGTCACTTTGTTAGTTTATGTACAAAGTGATATGTTAGCCGCAACTTGATTTACTCAAATATTCTACTTGATATATGCAGATTAATCATATGATTGCTAGCTCAGTCTAGCTTTCAGAGTTTTAAACATTTAAAAGTTATATAATTGGAGCTAAACCACTGGTCTATCAGGAATGTGGTATCTCTCAGTTCTGTCGGTATTCGAGGAGGCAGAAACTTGAGAATATAGACACCACTCGTGTTTGTATGAAACAAAGAGCATTTTATGTTTTCCAGTCTGAGGGCTCTATGTACTGTGTAGCAGATCCAGAAAGCCCTTGTTTTCAGAAAAGGAGTCAGAGGTGACATGCAGGGTGAGCCTGGAAAGAGCCTCCCAGCCTGTGGCTTCTTGCCATATGAGACATTTTCTAGACGTATGGCACGTGGCTAAAAGCGGACATTTGTAAGTTGTACTCCCTGGGTTTGAAAGCTGATTTTCCCACTTTCTAGCTGTGAGAAACTCCTCTGTTACTTAACCTAAGCCTCAGTTCCCCCACATGTAAAAAGGGAATGATGCCGGGAGCGGTGGTGCATGCTTGTAATTCCAGTACTTTGGGAAGCAGAGATGAGAGGATCGCCTGAGCCCAGGGGTTCGCGACCAGCCTGGGCAACTTGGCGAGACCTCGTCTCTACAATAAACCAAAAAATTAGCTGGATGTGGTGGCGCACGCACCTGTAGATTCAGCTACTTGGAAGGCTGAGCCCAGAAGGCCAAGGCTGCGGTACCTGTGACTGTGCGACTGCACTCTAGCCTGGGCGACAGAGTAAGACTCTTGGCACAGACACACAAAGGTAATGACAGCCGTACTGACCTCATAGGGTAAGTGGTTGGTAGGATTGAATGAGACACTGAACGCAGAGCACTGGCCCAGAGAACATGGTCCCAAGAGCACCAGCTACTGTTTCACTGCCCCACCCTCACCATGGGCCTCACATACCATGAAAGCTTGTCCTTCAGAGACAAGTGTCTCTTTCCTAGTTTATTTCTTGTTGTGTAGTACCTCAGTTGTACAGTCTGTCTACTGCAATATGTGTTTCTAGAGCACCGTTTAGTTCGTGTGTGGTTGGAAAGTAGGGCACGATGGCATACAACATGGCAGCTGCGCGGGTTCACACGCAGGTTTTGCAAGGCAAGGAGAGCCGAAATAGAACAGAACGACAACTTCCGTGGGAAAAGCTCAGCCTGGCTTCCAGTTCTATTTTTATTTAAATTATTTTTTTCTTTTTGAGCTGGGGCCTCACTCTGTCGCCCAGGCTGAAGGGCAGTGGCAGGATCTCAGCTCATAGCAGCCTCGACCTCTTGACTCTCAAGCCACCCTTCTGCCTCCGCCTCCTAAGTAGCTGGGACTGTAGGCACGTGCTGCCATGTCTGGCTGATTTTTTCTTTTACTTTTTATAGAGACGAGCTCTCGCTATGTGGCCCAGACGAGGGCATATGTTTCTGAATAACACCTTTCTCTTCATTTTCTTTGAAATTTGTTCATGGAAAGGCACTTTGATTCTGTTTCCCCAGGTTTAAATACTTCCTACGTCCCTAGGATTACTGTGAGAATTTATTCCTGTCTTTACTATAGTCCTGGTCACATTCTACCACATATTATTACAAAGGTGTGTGTGAGTGTGCGTGTGTGTGTGTGTGTTTTACCTCAGTTTAACTGTCAGCTCCTTGAGGACAGGGACTTTGTTTACCTCATCTCTGTGTTTCTGACATATTACCCAGCACCTCTTCTTTCACACAGTAAGTACTTCATCACTGTTTACTAAATGAACCGGGCCTCACAGAGTGTCGGTCTTCATCTGGGCCCTTTTGCAAGCAGTGGTTCACAAAAGTGTGCCGTGATTTCCAACACAGTGATTAGAAGACTTCATTTTGCCTGAAAAATTCCCCGTAACATAGTTATTGAAAATGATGCTGGGAAAGGTAAGGCCAGAAATTCATGTAAGAACGCCTTACATGAAATAATTTTATTCATCTCTTTGGAAAAAATGAATAAGCAACAGACGGGAATTATTTAATTTGGCTGCTCTAATCGTTCCTGCTTCTCTTTCCAAGGCTCTGGAAGTTGAGCCGGCTCCTAAGGGAATACTTGGTCAGAACAAACCTCAAGGTGATCCCTGTGTCGACAGGGAGCTGGGGACAGATGGCAGGCTCTGCTTGCACAGCGAGGGAGACATGGAGGGCTGGGCGCGAGAGGTGCAAGGGCCGAGCCGCTCTGACTGAAACACTCGACCTGCTTTGTTTCCCTCCTCTTGGTCAGCGTCCAGGTCCCTGTTCAGTGTCGTTGCCATCCAGGGCCCCGCTCCTTAAAAGTCGTGGCTTTTAGTAAGAAGCTTACAGCAAATAGCTCACAGGTAAAATGTATTTATAATAAAAACGAATATGTGAGCAGTCCTTTATGAATTGTGCCACATTCATTGTCTCATCTGATACTAAAATGACCCTTTTGTATTCGTTTCCTAGGGCTGCTGTAACAAAGTGCTACACACTGGGTGGGTGGCTTAAGCAATGGAAATGTGTTATCTCACCGCTCCAGAGGCTGGAAGTTGGCGATCCATGTGTCTTCAGGATTGCACCCTTATGGGGGTTGAGAGAGAATTGTTCCCTCCCTCTCCCCTAGTTGCTGGTAGTTTGCAGGCAATCTTTGGTGCTCCCTAGCTTATAGGTCCCTTTTTCATCTTTACATGGTGATCTGCGTGTGTGTGTGTGTGTGTGTCTAATTTCTCCTTTTTTTTTTTTTGAGTTGGAGTCTCATTCTGTCACCCAGACTGGAGTGCAGTGGCCGCTCCCGGCCACCGCAGCCTCTACCTGCTGGGCTCCAGCGATCCTTCCGCCTCAGCCTTCCGAGTAGCCGGAATTATAGGCACTCGCTACCACACCCGGCTGATTTTTGATTTATTGTAGAGATGAGGTCTCACCTGCCCAGGCGGGTCTCGAACCCGCCGGCTCAGGCAATCCACTCACCTCAGCCTCCCAAAGGCGCAGGATGACAGGTTGAGCCACAGAGCCTGGCTAATTTCTCCTTTTTATGAAGACACCAGCCATATTGGGTGGGGGCCCACCCCCGCCCTACTTGAGTCAACCTGCTGGGCTCCGGCGATCCTTCCTCCTCAGCCTTCCAAGTAGACGGAACTAGAGGTGCACACCACGCTACCTGGTTAATTTTTTGATTTTTATTGTAGAGATGAGGTCTTGCGAAGTTGCCCACTGTTAACACATGGGCTCAGGCAATCCCCTCACCTTGGCCTCCCAAAGTACTGGGATTACAGGCTTGAGCCACTGCTCGCGGCCAGGAATTACTCTTAATCCCATTTTACAGATAAAGAAACTGAGTCTCAGAGAGATGAAGTCAGTTCCCTGAAGTCGGTGAAAATCCCAGGTCTCAAATGCAAATTAGCTGTCTGGCTCAGTCGTCAAAGAGAGCAGACGGTGCCTCTTGCTGTGAGTTTGTTTAGTTGTCCCCACTCACTCAGATGGGTAAGAACCGAGGCTGCCCTGAGGTGCGTAAAGAGAGGGGAGCAGCCATGTGGTCTTCCTTTGGGATCCATTTAGCAGGCGCTGTGTTATTCAGTGCTCCCCTGGCTGCCCCAGGCTGCACCACGTGAGCGCTTGGCCCTCAGGGGAGCTGTTAACTCAACGTGTTTCTTGTAAGTCTGTTGTTTCTAGCTGGTGGGCCCATCCCTGAACCCAGGGGCACCGGGCACAATGAGCCTATTCAGGGCAGAAAGGGAAATGCCCCACACTTCCTTTTTCTCTCTATGGCATCATTCCTCGCCTCCCATGCCTTCCTTTTGTCCTGCCTGTTGAGTCACCTGGGTATGGGCGTGGGGAGCGTGTGAACTGCCAGCCCTGGGAGAGGGTGGATGAGGACGCCAGCCCCACGGTGCGTGTACCAGGGCGGGCAGCCGCGGGC